TTTCTCGTTTGAATTGTTTTACATTGTCATTTCTGGGCCTTTTATAGCTGACTGTGCGGTATGGGCTTTGCTCATTGTTGAAGGCCGTACAGTGACCTATAGTTGTTAATTTCTGTGTCATTTGGTCTGTTGTGGAGAGATGTCTCATTGGCAATCATACCACATCTTCTGGCAGGTGTCATCTGACCTTGACCTCATTTTCATGGTTCAGTGGTTATAGGTAAGTTTTTGTGTTTTGGTCTGTTTTTCTTATACTGTATGCAATAGGTCTGCTATATTTGGTGTATGGAATGATTGTAAGGTGTACATGTCTAGCTGGCAGGTGTCATCTGACCTTGACCTCATTTTAATGGTTCAGTAGTCTAAGTTAATTTTTTGAGTTTTGGTCTTTTTTTCTATTACTAAATGCAATAGGTCAACTATATTTGGTGTATGGAAACATTTTATGATGTACATGTCAGTCTCGCAGGTTTTATTTGACATTTTCACGGTTCATTGCTCAGTGTTAAGGTTTTGTGTTTTGGTCTGTTTTTCTTAATCTATAAGCAATAGGTCAACTATATGTGTTGTATGGAAGGATTGTAAGCTGTACATGTCTGCCTGGCATGGTTCATCAGATTTTCACCTCATTTCCATGGTTCATTGGTCAATGTTTAGTTTTCTTGTTTAAGTCTGCTTCTTAGAAACTATAAGCAATAGGTCAACTGTATTTAGTATATTGAATGATTGTAAGGTGTACATGTATTTCTTGTCGGGTTTATATGACCTTGAATTCATTTTCTTGGATCATGTTGAGTTTATGTGATAGTTGTAGTAAAGCTTTATATTTAGGACTATCAACATGATATCAATGATTAGTAAAGAAGGCGCAACATTTCAGCGTGTGCACTCTTGTTTATACATTATACACCATATTTACTGTTTTTACCCTGATTTTATGGATCACTGAACATAGAAATGTCATAATGTGAAATTATAGTACATTCTTAGGTTAAAGTTTTAGGTTAAGGTACATAGCTTACCATGAAGTTGAATTTCATACACATGTTCATTATGTAGTGAACTTTTAAATTCAGTGCCAAACTAAGATTTTGAGCCTGATTACATGATTGACTAGACATTGACACATGCTAGTGTTTGCCAGGCATGGTGTCCTGTACTAGGAATTTGTCCTGTACTAAGAACTTTAATAGTACTCGCTGAGTATGGAGTTTTTGTGAAAGTTTAATATTAGTGAGATTTTTGCATGACATCCTGTCAACTGCTTGTTGATCATGTTTATACACGTCTTAAAATTAATATCTGACACATTGGTGTTTTGTGAACTTGGAAATAAGTTATTTGATAGAATAATAATGTTTTGAGATTATCAAAATAAAAAATATCCCATTTTTACTATTAATAATTAAGTGTTAACAAAAAGAAGATTTAGAATATATGTATAACCATATATAAAAATGAGACAGCAACCGAACAACACAAAAATAAGAAAAAAAAACAATATAATTTTTTGTATCAATGTTATAATTTCCAACATGTCAAAAGAGTTCAAGGTATTTTCTCATTGAAATAAAACACAAGTGGAACTCTTTCAGAACTTCAGAAGCTTAAAGAAGTGCTGTTTCTATTGTTGGCGTTTTGTATAATATATTGCAAATTCTTGTGAAAAATGGAATGTTATTGTAATTGCCTAAAGTTTTAACATTGATCTATATATATATATATATATATATATATAACTGGGGAAAATACCCAAATGTTATAAAGAAGAATACATAAATTGATTGTTATATAATATTAGAAAAGGAAGATGTGGTATATTGCTAATTTGACAACTCTCCATCAGAGACCAAAGGATGTAGGAGGTTAGCAACTGATGACACTGGACAACCTTCAACAATCAGTAAAATCCATACCGCATAGCTATTTTTATTGAAAATCATATGTTATTGCTACATGTATGCAAACAATTTTTTATAATGCATAACTTTGGATTTTATTGGTTCTTTTTCAGAAGGATTGAAATTCATCACATAGAATAAAAGGAGAAAACACAGAAACAAGACCAGAATAAATTCAAAGACAAATGTCAGATCAGTTATTATTTTCATCACTCAGTCAATGAAACGAAGTTCTATTAAATATCTAAAGATATTAAAACTACAATAATGACAATGTTCTGTGCTGAATGGCCAAAAAAGTGGACTATACATTAAGATCACACAATGCTGGATGATAAGAAACTATTAATTTTTTGGATGGAGGGATATCCTGAAAAAAAATTAGATTTATGTAAAAAGCTACTAGTATGTTAAGCCTAATAATAGAGTTTTCATTGATTCCAAATGGGAAAAAATTGTGTGTTCAAAAAAGTATTCTAGAATTCATAAATAAACATATATTGATACTTACATTATCTGCTTTGTTGTTTAAAAGTTTAGTTTTGAACAATTATAGAACAATATGATTGCATTAACATTTCCAAGGAAAAAAAGATATTCAACTAAAAAGATTCATCTTAAAACAATTTACTACCAAACAGAATTCATTGTAACATACACATTACTGTATATTTATAATTTGAATCCCATAGGATTAATTGGATTTTATTTTGTCCCATGGGATATTAAAAATCCCATGGGATAATTATAGTCCCATGGGATTTTTTTTGTCCCATAGGACAACAAATATCCCATGGGACTACAATTATCCCATGGGACCCAAAAAAATCCTATGGGATTTAACCAAAATCCCATGGGATAATGGTCAATCCCATGGGATTTGCCATATCCCATGGGATATTGAAAATCCCATGTTTTTCTAAATTAAATAAAAAAATATATATAATAATGACAGCAGAAAAGCAATGAATTTATTGAATCCCATGTAATTCCGCACATTTTGGTTATATACACGACACTGTAGCTCTAAGGAGAGGCGGCGGCGGATTTGCAAATGAGTGTTTTGCAAATTAAAAGTGTCCAGTGTTTATAATAGAATACATTGTATAATTCAGGAATGGTAACTTAGTTTGATCATATCCAAAGGGAAGAAGAGAAAATCACTAATAAAAGTGTCAAATGAAATTCAATGCTAATAAAAAATTGAAAATAAAATTTCTATTTTTGATGAAAAAATTTCAGTACACTCTCTAAACCCTTCTCCTGAAACGATATAAACTCATTAATTTTCCTCGTAACTGTCTCTGACATTTTAAATATTTCATTTATCACTTTGAAACCGAAAACGATTTACCTATTTTCTACCAAATTGACGATATATCTAATTCTTGGAAAATAGCTATTAGCCACAATATTTAATGAAATGAAGCTGTACTTTACACTCCCACATCAACAGTTAAAAGAAAAATATCGTTGTTTTTTCTTCAAAAATTTAGTGGTTTTTATATTACGTTATCTAATATTTGTTGTATGCCCACATCGTTTCAACATGTGATGTCATTTAAAATGCGTTTGAAAATTCTATTGAACCTTAATAATGATTATGATAGTGTACTCCAGCAAACTCTTTTTCGATGTAACTTTAAAGATTGAACGAGTTTTTATCTCAGGAAAACATTAAAACTTGTTCAATCTTACATTTTAACATCATGTCAGCCAACGTACTAGATTTAGTAGGGAGACTTCCGATTTGTCATTTATAAAATTTGAAATCCCCCTTTGGATCTGTATACTCCGAGGGATGTCAAAATCTCACTCTTTGACACAAATCACAATATTTTTACCGCCTTTGATCACTAGAGTTTTTTTTTAGGTATTTTTCAGTTTCCTGTGTTTTATTTTTACTGTTTTGCGCATGCAAACAATGCTTATGTCGTTTGTTGATGTGGTTCCGTGATAAGTGTTTCTCGTTTCTCGTTTTTTATATAGATTAGACCGTTGGTTTTCCCGTTTGAATGGTTTTACACTAGTAATTTTTGGAGCCCTTTATAGCTTGCTGTTCGGTGTGAGCCAAGGCTTTGTGTTGAAGACCGTACTTTGACCTATAATGGTTTACTTTTATAAATTTTGACTTGGATGGAGAGTTGTCTCATTGGCACTCATACCACATCCTCTTATATCTATTATTTGCATAGCAAAATAAAATCTTAGAATAATTTTGTTTTAGCCAATTTAATCCATATATAGGTAATTAAATGTTATTCGTCTGTGCTGAAATATTAAAATACATCGATCTTACTATGATCTTTTGAATGAAAAAAGGTAGTAACGCTTAATCTTCCTCATACTGGAGGATCTGATGAGTCGAACACTTTTCAAATGAGTTTTACAGTTTGTTCTAATGTTGAGCTGTTACACTACTTCAACAGATTAGGGGATGGAAATGGTGGTTTAGCGCTTAAAAAAAAGTTAACCCCTCCCGATTGTATGTGCCTTTTCCATGTCAAGGACTAGTTATTCAGTTTTGTTATCGTTGATTGCTGTTTTCCATATTAAATTTGTTTTTCGTTTATTGTTTTAGTTTAAATCATGCTTCTAGTTTTCTGTATTAATTTTTTTCACATATTTTGATATGCCTGGGCCTTTTATAGTTTACAATACGGTTTGAGTTTTTATTATTGTTGAATAAAGACAGTGCGATGACCTATAGTCGTTTATATTCTCGCCCGTCGGTCTCTGATGGGCGATGTTCTCATTTTTATTCATACCACATCTCCTTATTCATATATGTAACTATCGTGCTCGTTAGAATATCGATCAATAAATCTTAAAATTGTATTACTCGTTCGAATGTACTTTATCAACAAAGTGCAACCACACCTCAGAAAACAACATTACAGTGGTATATTTAAACGTTGTATATATACTTACGTTGTTTTGTATTGACTGTGTTAGGTGTGGCAACAGAAGGAGAAAAAAAAAATATGACAAGATTTATCCTGTAAAACAATTAAAGAATTGAAATGACGAATGAAAAATAATTTGACATTTAGTTTCTAATCGATGCATCATTACACGGAACACTTTATTAATGGTCATCAATTAATGTTATGAACAGGAAATAAGTGTATAAGTATTGTCGTTAATTACCAGTAAACAAATTGTAACGAGAGACGTTGTAAGGTAGGTTTGATCTACAGAAATTTTATATTAAGAATTTTTGCGTCACGATTTTGATATATTTTTATGCAAAATGTTTGACCTCACTTCATTGGTAGTTTGTAATTTTAAGAATTGTATTGCCTTGCTGAGTTCTACATGAAAATGAAAACAAAACTTTATAAATTTCATTCGTCCGAGGCGTTTTTTGTGGATTTATCTTTATCAGGAACACTCTAGGCTGGATATTTGAAAACCTAGGACGAATAAGAAATGAAACAGTTGAGAGCTATATGGCCCAAAAGGATAACACAATACAATAGCGGAATCCTTCTAAGGTCAACTTGGACTGAGGTAGTTGAAACCTTAGTTTCTCGATAATTTTTACAATTATTAAAAGGACAACTTATTAAAGGTTTGTTAAATAAAGAGATGTGGCACGATTGCCAATGAAACAATTATAGATCAACGTACTGCTTTCAACAATGAGTAAAACCGATGCCGTAGTTAGCTATAAGAGGCTCCGGCGTGACAAAATGCAAAACAGTTCAATAAGAAAACTAACGGTCTGATTTATTTTTAAAAAATTGTGAACGAAAACTAATATCAGAGACAGCAATCAACGACAAATACTGAATTACTTGCTCCTGACTTGATTTGAGAAAGGCCAATCACAAATGTGAAGGAGTTTACATGTTTATGAGCGGTCAGTCCTCTCCCAAAATTCCCCCTTTCTGGCCTTAACGTTGGATAGTGGTACACAGCACAACATAACCAGGGCTCATTAAATCGGTACGAAGCCTACCAAAAAAAAACGAAGTACCGATTTAATAGTAAACCTGGTAAACTTATCAATCCTTTTAACAAATTCATTCTAAAAGGTTACCAATTCAACACTACACTTAGATCTTTAAATATTGTGTTTATTGCTATAAATATTGATTTTGTTATCAGTAAATTAGAACCATACTTAATATTATTGTTATATACACATATCCACTTTCACGGTACTACAATCTGTCGAAACCTATATATTTTGGCATATGCACAAGGTCGTGTTTTCTCTGACTGTTAATGACTTCTGTACACTAAATCCATAGGATGTTGGATGTGTGCTGATTGATATTTTTAGTCTAACATACATGATTTCTTTTATTAGTTGTTATTGGCTTTAAACTAGCTGTCAGTAACTGCAAGTACTTTCAGATCTGTATTTTGTGTCTCTTTTGTTGTTGGGAATGTATAAATACCCTGCTACTTCCAGTCTGTATTTTTGTTAGATTTTTTTCCTGCTTTGTATCGATCTGATGAGTTAACCCCTTTTCAACTGATTTTTATAGTTTGTTCTTAATATGTTGTGTTGTTGCATAACTGGTTAGGGGAGGGTTGAGTGCTCAAAAAAATGTTTAACCCCACCACATTCTTGATGTGCCTGTCCCAAGTCAGGAGCCTGTAGTTCAGTGGTTGTCGTTGGTTCATTTCTGTCATATTGTTTTTCGTAAATTGTTTTGTAATAAATTAGGCCGATAATTTTCTCAATTGAATAGTTTCATATTTTTAATGTCGGGGCCTTTTATAGCCGACTATACGGTATGGTGTTTTTTTCATTGTTGAAGGCCGTACGGTTGCCTATATTATAATTGCTTACATCCACTTCATTTGAACTTTTGTGGATAGTTGTCTTATTGGCAATCATACCACATCTCCTTATTTTTATATTGCAGTTACTGAAAGCTAGTTTAAAGCCGTTAATATCAACTACTAAATAGACTAACATGTCATTTAGTACACAGCCATTGGGTTAAGTGTAAAGACGTTATAAAAAGTCTGAGAAAAGCTAGACCTTCTGCAATGTATGACCATAAATGTCCATAAGTGTATAACAATACATATTTAGTTACGTTATAATTCACTTCAACAAAATTTATGTTACATGTAGTACCGATAAAGACGATATTCAAAGATCTTACTACATTTTTAGATTTATATATATAATCATTAAGAAAAGTTTATTCGAAGGACCAATAAGTTTACATGGATCGTATCAAAATTGACAGTTTTTTTTTTAAAGAAAATAAAAATTAGGATGTGATACTCCGCTTGTAATAGGTTTCTTCAGGTACAGCCAAACTTTCGTACCAAATCTTTTTATTAATGAAAGAATTTAGTAGAGGTGTTAAGTAGCTGGTGGTAACCCATGACTTCATGATTTATCCATCATATACATAGATTACGTTCATTGGAATTTATTACGTCACTATATACACACCATAAGAAAAGCCCAAGGAGCATTACCGTAAAAATAACAATAAAGAACGAAAATCGTCTCTTCTGTCGTAAATTTTGGTATAAAGTTCCGGTTTGAAACTGATTTTATATATCGAAATCTAGAAAAGAACAATTGTTGTTGTTTTTATTAAATTTATTTTAAGTCAGTTCCCTTGCGTACATTTCTTAAGTATAGTTAAAAGTATAGTTAGAAAATTATTATCATTATCTAAAGCAAACATATCACTGAGTGTGGCCCCAAACTGGGATTCATAACAATACACACAGAATCGAGTCTGCTATTAAAGGAGTACAATTGTGCCCAAAGAAGTATCTACAATCGGTTCATACAGGTTATTGCCGAAACGTACATGAAATAATTATAGAAAAGGAGAGAAAAAAAAAGCAACAGAAACGCTTAAAACTAATGAAATGAATGCCAGGGATGTATAAATACGTATACACGTTAGATCTCTAATGCCAGGGGTGTATAAATACGTATACACGTCATACGCGTAGCTACGTTTACGTCAAAACGCCCGGGCGTACACACGAATTTTGGAGAAAAATATTTTAATCTAAATAAATTAAAAAATCTGGCTAAAAGCACATGAGCCTTGTAGTTCTTTCTCCACTGACTTGTAATTGAAGAAAACAGTCGGAAGAAATTTACTTTTTAATAAAAAATGGTATCATATTATTTATTTGCAAGTTCGTTTTCTGTCAAAATATGAATCTACTGTGAATTATCCTCCCTTTCCCATAGTTTAAAGCAATTCATTTTCTGCTGAGATACGATATGCAGTTTTGTCGAGCCTGCGAGACATTCCGTAATCGGCGTTGGCGTCGTCAATATTTATGTTCAGTCTGTGGTTAATTTTTTTTTTAAACATCAATAAATTTGTAAAACCTTTATGAAATTTTACAGAATATAGACAAACACTTTTTTATGATCAAAAGAGTATCCAGAGCATAATTATGAAAATTTACTTTTAATTTTTCCGCATTTTACTCAAAAGAACATTGTTTTTATTAGTTAACAAGTAGATACTGTTTGTTACGCATCAATTACTTTGTCAAAACTTCATCGAATTTTATGTTAAAATGTTAACACCAACTGTACGATTTTTTTTTTGCACCAGATGCGCATTTCGACAATTAATGTCTCATCAGGGATGCTGGAGGCCGAAATATTTGAAAATCCAAAACCTAATAAAAACATTGGAAGAGCTGATCAAAATAAAACGTACCTAAAGTATAGCCAATTCCGGACAAAGAATCAGAGCTTTGCATGGGGGAGATATATTCCTTTATTTTTAAATGATTTCAAAACTTTTATTTCAGTCTAAAAATTATATTTTTTTTCATTTTTCAGTATTTTACCATTTTTTGGGGGCAATTAACAGATGGTCTTGAATTTGATATTTTTCACCTGCTACATTTGTAAACTTTCATAGATTGTTATGAAGCTTGGACAGAAGCTTATCTTCCAAGATCAAGAAAAACATTTAAAGAAAAGTTTGATTTCTTTTAAATCCTGTATTTGACTGATAAATGGTTTCACTTTTTATAGTTTAACCGACAGCAGCAATCCCAGGCGAAACTCAGGATTCCTCGGAACCCTTTGAGTATGTTTATATCACACCTGACCATCTATGAAAATTTATTATTGCATGTACTTGTCCATTAACGAAATTTGCGCATAAAAGCGGAGAAAACTAGATTAAGTCATAATAATCAAAAGAACGACACCATTGAAAATGTAGACTTGCTTTTTTTATATTTCGAAAGGTTTGGATCTTTGGTCGATTGATTGTTTTACCTCAAATCTTCTTTTAAACATATTTCATAGGAACATTTGGTCGATTGATTGTTTTACCCCAAATCTTCTTTTAAACATATTTCATAGTAACAACTATTAGCCATTAGATTCCAAATCAACACACTAAATAAATTAAACATGAAAAAAATCAAGAAATTAGACTTTAAAGTACATTTATGTTGCTATTGATGAGTTTTAGTGACAGAAATAGTAGCTCTCAATAAATCGTTTGCTTCCGTCGGACCCCTGCTGGGAGGTCCCTTGCCCTGTACCCGCTGGGGACCCTCAAACCCCTCGCCGAAGTTCGGGCGTACACTTAAAAATGGCTTAGCTACGCCACTGCACGTTAGATCTCTTCACAAGCAATACAACAAATACAAACATAGACATTTAACTTTTATAACAGACCAATATTCAATATATTGACATGCACAATAAAAACAACTAACCGCAGTTACGACCATAGTTGAATGACCGATATAACTTGTTCAATGTACGTATGCATTATTAGGATGCTACGCCCTTTTCACAGTTCAACACTTTATTTTTGTCTTCGTACAATGTAATCATCATTAATTTATAAATAACTATAGCGGTTTGACAATCCTTTTATTCACAACTACCATTAGTGGATCTGCATTAATTGATGGTAAACGCTACCATGTGTCATCCCTGGCACCTTTATATTATTACAAAAAATAGGTTTCTGCCCCTCCCTTTTTTCCAATTCCGAATTTTTCAAAGCAAACAAAAAATATTTTTATATTGGCTATTTCCTTTTATTTAACAATACGTTTTTAACAACTAATGACAAAAACTGGTCTAAATGTGTAATCAGGCTGTTCAAGAACAGTTCTCCTGACAGTTCTCCTGACAGTTTTTCTGACAGTTTTTCTGACAGTTTTTCTGACAATTCCCCTGAAAGGTTTTCTGACATTTCTCCTGACAATAACTTCCGACAGTTCTACTGACAGTTCTAACAGTTCTCTTGACAGATTTTAAGAAAGGCTAGATCTAATGTATCAAATATCAATCATCAATACCAACATTACTCACGATAGGTCAAAAGTCAACCACTGAGTGGGTCCCTGTCTAGATACAGGCACATAAATGTGTGGCGGGGTTAAACAAATTTTTAAGACTATATGTTGACCGTTAAATGTCCTTTCAGTTTATTGTAGTTGGGTTGTTTTCTTGTTGACAAATATGTGTTTCCTAAATCTCGATATCTTTGTTGACCTTGTAGGTGCCTTTTTTTTAATTGTTGTTAGCTATAGGTTTATGTCTCATTGACCTACACGTTAACATGTTTTTTTTAAATAAAATCATTAATGGCACGGAGAACACGGTAGACACTCGAAAACTCTGAAACATGAAAAAATAAAAAAAAAAAAAATAAAAATCAGAGGTTAATGGACTTTTAGTTCAGCGGTATCTTAAAATTAATGTAAGAGTCGCAATTTGAACAGTGCAGCGGATGCGGAGAATCGTCCAGGAGACATTTTCGAGGACTTAATATTTATAATTGTTCACCTTTTCTAGGTTGGCCTGTTTATTCCGGTTTGTGCACAATCATTTACTGCATTCGTAGAGCACAATATTCATGTCCATCCTATTTTGGACAAAACTATTTTTTTTATTCATCTATTTATAACCGGATCATGCATGTTATTCTTTTTCCCAAGCCCCCAATCAAATTGTCGTCCTCTTATTGTATTTATGTCACTTTCTTGATCAATACATAGTTTTGTTAAAATTTTCAATGGCGACCAAAACATTTTGAGACGTAGTTGATAACTCTAGGTCAACAAATCTTTTTGACCACACAAAACTGCAATATGTGATTGTTAGAATCTACCAGAATAAATTAGTGAACATTAAATTGGCATGAGACTACGTTACATTCATCATGTTCATATTGCCCTAAATTTTCGTGGTTCATATTCATTCTTAACAGAGAGGAATTACCTTTCGGTGCCGTTGTACTTATTCATTTAATCTTTAGATTCGTCACCTTCACAAGAAAAGGGTAACGACACTACAACCTCTTGTCCTCCCTCCTCTGATAATCCCTTGACTATAAAGAGGATGTAGATGAGTCGGATTCAAGAGAATGCATCATGATTTGAAATTAATTATATATTTATGTGTACAATATGTATTACGGTATTTGTTTAATGAAAAATACATGTTTATTTTAATGTCTTTCTCCCAAATGTCATTTACATTGTACAAATTCTTTGGTATAATATATTACAAAATGAAAGCTTATTTTTAATTTGTGGCCATATTTTTTTACTCAACACAAAAGTGTAATAGATTCCGATACATTTTAAAAATGATTTATAGTTATTATGTTAAGTGTCATATTCAAATATTATGTCTTTCTCATTTAGTGATATTCTAGCAATTTGTCATTGATATAAAAACAAAGCGGATACATCATTTTAAAATTATAATTTAGTATGATCGTAAATCAAAAATGATTTAAGATACATCAGTTACTTTAACATTTTATTTTAAATTATAATTTATTGATTTTTATTTGTCATATAAGTGATTTTTTTTTAACTTAGGTCACAAATCCCAATATTTTGCTTTCCAACCCAAAGTTTAACGAAGAAGGTGTTAACAATATAGGGAAATTATTGGTCTGTCATGTTGGCAATCATGCCAGTTCTACTCTCTACACTACATTTCCACATAATTGTATTAAACAGTAGGTTTCTTATTTCATCAACTGGTCTACTGAAAATGCGAAGGGATAAACATACTGGGACTGTGATGAGATGATTTATAAAGTGTTTTTTTCATCATCTTGTAATATTGTTTATTCATTTATTGTATAATATTAAATTATCAGATCTATCATCACCACGTCGAGTCTAAAAAATAAAATTAACAAATATACCGAACTCCAAGGAAAATTCAAAACGGAAAATCCCTTTTCAAATGGCAAAATCAAAAGCTCTAACACATTAAACGATTGGAAATCAACTGTCATATTCATGACTTAGTACAGGCATTAAATGTTCCTTATGTAGAAAATGGTGGATTAAACCTGGTTTTATAGCTAGCTGACCTCTCACTTGTATAAGGCATAATATAATTATCATTTTCTATGTTCCAAAATCTCTATTGTAAAAACTGAATTGGTTTTTTGGAATATACTTCAATTTCAAATTGATGAACCTTTATACGTTATAAATTTAAGCATTCCAAAGAATTATAAAATTAATTATAAAAATGGAAGAAATTAATATCTTAAAAATTTTATTTTTAGTATGACGTTTAATTTACGCAGTGTATATTTGATATGAACTTTCGAATTAACCTCATAATATAACTGAGCATGACTTGTTTAAAGTGAACACAAACTAAATCTGGTTGAAATACCGATCATGCGAAGCTTGGACACAGTATTTGTATTTTAATCAGATTGACACAAAATTTAAATAATCATTCTACTCTCAACGGACTTAAGAGGTTGGGGTCAACGTACTTTTTCATTTTGTTTTAATTTATTCATTATGTCATTACAGGGTAAAACACAGTATCATGTCGATTCAAAAGAACGTTGTAGTAATTTTGTTATTGAACTTGCTTAAATCCATTTTGACGATGCAAATTGAAGCTGAACTTTTCACACTGGCCAAAACAATCGCAATAAAGGAAAGATCGTCAGCATCGAATGGAAAAACACTTGAAATGACCAATCAAGATGCCCTGCAATACGAAATATGTATCAAAAATCCGATGCAATTATTTATCAGCTTAAGATATTCTAACACTGGGAACAGTACGAATGTCAAAGTATTAATTGATGGTCAACATGCATGGTCACTGAACGCATCCACAACAAGCCATTCGTTTTCATTTGTAACAAGCGATTCAATCGATCACCCTATATTGCTGTTCGAAGGCCGTTATGTTCTAACTGTTGTGGTCGAAACAACAGAGGAAGCTGTATTTGAACTTGATTATCTGGAACTCTCAAGCCACGAAACCACTAAACCCGAAGACTTGATCTGTCTGCCAAATCGAAAACAAGTTCATATAGAAATTGAAGACTTTTCAGACTTTAATGTTAGTTATATCATGCGACGGTCTGCTGCTTCAACTACTAGGTCTGTACTACTTTTTCAAGGCCAAACAGTAAAATACAAAATATGCATTGATACCGCAATAACTATTGATATCCAGGAATTGCTTTATTCAAATGACGGAAAATCTGATTTAATAGTTATCAAAATTGATGACAAAATTATTGGTTCTTTCAGTACTATGCCCGTTTCTGGTCATGGACTCGAATGGAACAACTTCAGAACCAGTGGTATAATAGGGAAAGGAATAAGACTTGATTCGGGCATGCATGACGTGGAAATTTCTGTTGTTTCAGCCGATAGCTTCGGCGTTGAGTTGGATTACATGTCTTTTAGTGTTGAAACCTTATTGCCTGATAAAGACCCGTTTAAGTGTGTATCAAGCAAACAGATCGAAGCAGAATCGTTTAAAGGTGGCGAAAGAATGCGTCTACGGGAAGCGTCGAAAGAATATGCAATAAATCTTAAAAATGGAGAATTTCTTCAGAAGAATATTTGTCTGCGCGTGCACACTGATGTAAGCATCGATAAAATTGTTCATTCTGACAGTGGCACATCTAATAAGTTATCTGTTTATGCAGACGCAACAAAAATAGTTACTTTCACAACTGGTACTCTTGCGTATTCACACGACGAACAATCCGATACATCCATTTCTGGTACATTTTCTATAAATGGTCCTTCTACTGTTGCAACGTTACCGCCTGGTTTTACAAGCAATGGTTCAGTTAAAAAGACTAATTTGACAACATTCATTTTTCCAGAGAATAACATCGAATTATCAAAAGGGCTACACACTATGACAGTGGTAGTTGAAAATTCCGACGTTTCTGGAGTCAATTTAGATTTTATGTCATTTACTTTTAACTTTGGAAACAACATATTGCAAGGAATAGAATGTCTACAACATCAAAGTGTTTTGATGGAAGCTGAACAATTTCCTTTGGAAAGTACTCGGGGGCTTCGATTCAGATCAAATGCATCATCTAACAGAACTGTTTATATGAAACAAGGAGACATCATAAAACGTTCGGTATGTGTAACTGGTCGAGTAAAAGTTTCTATGACAACAGTTTTATTTTCTAATGATGGACCCGCTGATCAGATTTCTATAAAATTTCAGTCCATTCCCATGGCAACTTTATTGACAACTGTAAATTCTAAAAACGGAACAGCCTGGAATGATATTGAAAGTAAAAAAATAAACAGCGTGCTATTCCTTAATGAAGGGGAATATGAACTGCAGGTTGTGGCGTCAAACACTGACAAATATGGAATTGAAATTGATGCATTGATATTAGACATCTTTACATTCGATGGTTGGTTAAGGCCTTGTTGAAAAGTTCAGTTAGTTTCCATTTAATTTTGAAAGTACATTTGATAAGTGTGAAAGTTCTACAAAACGTATACATAGAATTAGTTTGTTTCAAACAACAATTTTACTAAATGTTACGAGTAATTTATCAGAACATTTTGTATACTGTTTTTATACAAATTAGCTATCGCCCCGACAATACCAAATGTTGATGTGTGCTGACGCGGAGTTTACAAATTTAAAAAATAAATGCTCATGAGATGTTGATATTCATTCACTTTGTATGGGAATCACTCCTTTTAATACCCTCCCCCCCCACCCCCCCCCCCCAAAAAAAAAAAACAAAGTCCAAAAATAAAAAGAAAGAAAAAAAAGAAAAAGAAAGTTTTGTATATTGCTATTAAATGAAATGCCTCATTAATTTTTAATCTGCCATCTTGCCAATTACATACCAAAAGTAGGAAAAATTATTTAGATTTCAATGTGAACTTTTAGTACATGTATGTCTTACATAAAAAAAGTCATTTTGAGAGTATGTCAGTAACATGAGTATTAACATTACGATGACTAGCATATTGAAAGCAATATATTGGTTCTGCATTTACTTTTGTGATGTTTTTTTAGTCGATTTTATTTTCATTTAATATTTTGATATGTGTACAAAGATGTTATTTTGTATATTTGTATTATTGAACTTGCATATTTGATATATTTAATTTATTAACTTGTGATCGTTTGTTTATTTCTCCGTAAATGCAATATCTTATTAGATTTTTACACCAATCACTGTTTGATGCACATTGTCATTAACGCTCATTATGATCTTTCCTTGTGTAGTAAGAAGTTTTTAGTCTGATCTAGCGAACTATTGCAATACTCCGGGCAGTCTTTTCGAAATTGATATATTCTTCTAAGCTGACTAATTGCACATTTTTATGCAGTCTTATTTTCATTCTGAACCAATAATGAGTTGTCTTTCTTTGAACGAAAACACCTATACGTCACTTTTTGTATAGTTTGTCAAGAGTTTAGTTTAAAGACAAAAACATTTTGACTCAAATATTTTTTTCTAGGTCATGTTGTGTTCGACTTAATCTGAGTTTTTCGAACTCCTCGTGTCAAAATTGATTTTTACGGGATGTTTTGGTACATGTCAGACAAGGAAAATAAAAATGCATATTCAGAACATAATTTAGGATGTAAATAGGTACAAGATTATCACATAAGTGCCACGTGGCACTCGTACCACTACCGTATAACATGTTACATGTTATGTGTATGCACCAACACAGAATAATGCGACATATACTCTTAGTTTTGTCCATATTTGCAAAAAAGCGCCAGCAAAGCCAACACAGTTCTTGTATTCTTGTAACCGATACCATTATAGGAGAAAGATCTAACGACCTTTCCGGAGCACCCGAGTAATAAAAAAATGTCTTACTTGATGAAAGTAAATCCAGAAAAGCGCTTCGGACTCATGCAATTTATGAAGTGATCTTTGTGATGAATTTAGAAATTATTAAGAAACTAAGATTTCAACTCCTTCTAGCTAAGTTGACCTTAGATAGATTTGACCTATATATTTAGGTCTTGTTTGATCATATAGCTCCTCGGATGTTTCGGTTTTTATACATCCTTAAGCTTGGCTTTCAAATATTCGACTTTGAGAGTACCGAATGAAGGTAAATCCTACCACATAATGATGACTTTTAAAATTGTATTATTTTTATACAAAAAGTAACTTTTTCACAAAATTTATTTGCCAATTTTCTTAAATTATAACATGTTCTGTACATATCATGCACAACAACTGTGCAAAATATCTTTGGAGTTCTATCCATACTGTTGAAGGTTTTACTTTTACCAAAAAAAATATATGTACAAATGAGTATACAAATTATGCAGGAGAACTGTGCAAAGTTTCTTCGGCGTAACGTCCTGTCCATACTTTTGGATTTTTTGCGTTAATTTACAAAAACTGTTGACGCAAAGACGGAAAAACGGTCGAACAATAAGGAAACTAAAGGGCTACCGCATCTTTAATGCAGGGCCATAATTAGTTTCACCCCCGGTGAATTTTTATAAGAACTGGCTATATAAAATTTGAATATGACTTTGGCATGCATTTATTCTACTTTCACATTTAACTATACTTTTAGAATATCATTAGCCGTCAATGCTTAAAGTTTTTCTGAGGAGGTTTCAACAACAGTCTGAGACAAAAACATACTCTTTGACGTAAAAGTATAGTGCAAATATGACTATTTTCCATATTATATAATTTGTAGAAAACTGTTTTGCATGGATGGTATCTTCGGGGAATGGGAGTCCACCAACAACGCTGATAACGTATGATATAAAAATAAGATGGGGTATCGTTGCCAATGAGACAACTATCCACCAGAGTCAATTAAAACGGATGTAAGCAACAACCATCCCCGCCTTTCACAATGCTGTTGATGTTCGTTAACTTTAATGTATTTCCATTATGTAATCATATATTTTACCATCCCTTTGTACCGTAAATGTGTAATGGAGTTACGAACTTCAAGGCAAACATTTTGCCAGATCTCACACAACACGCTATGCTCACGCCTCTTACATTGTATAGACAAAGATACAGTTCATCCTACCTAAGTGTTATTTCCTTCTGCAAACGATTCTTCAATCGGAAACAAAAGTCGGTAATTGATAAATGTACGAAAGCCAAGATAACCCATGCAAACTCATATATGTTTATTTTGGTTATCATAGATGTTTATTTTGTGTTGTTGGTTTGCTTTCTCGTTGAGGTTTAGCTTTTCACCTCCTTTTTATAAATATTTACTTAAATGTAAAAGAGGACCTTTATGCTGATTTGTTTTCATTTAAATGATATCATACGATAAAGCCATATAATTATGCTACATTTCATTATGAATCAACCAATCAATCAACCACCTCGGTGGTTTCTTGGTAGCCTCGACTGGGTCAATCCATAGACTTTAAAATTGGTATTTGCTGCGTCTCCGCTAAGCATGCGGCGTTGGATTGGAGCCAGAATAAGGCGTTCGAGTACGGTGACATAGTTACATGTCTTCTTGCAATCATCACCTTGTGAACTAGCACGTTAAAAATCCGACAAAGTGTGTCGGTCTAGTACAAAGCAGGTTTTATACTCATATCGTATTAACATGTTCTCTTCTAAATACGCATTCAATTTGCCACTGGACGTTTAACAAAATATTTTCAACATTTTAAATAGTAGTAGAGTAATTATACATGTTACATTGTATGTTAAAGTCTAAAAGGCAAAAATTAATTTGGAAACTGACAGAATTGGTCTTTCAAAACATCTGCTTGACTTTCAGATTGAATAATGTTGACAAATAATTTAAAAAGTAATAGTTTCAGCAGTAATTTCAATTAATAATGACATTGGTACTCTTAAGTGATTACAAAAGAAGCCATAAATGTATTGATTCCAAGTGCAAAGCATTTATTTCGTGACATATATAACAAAATGATGACAGACGGGTTGTCTCCCTTTGGAGTGATTCAGGTTAACAGATAAATATAGTCATGAAACATATCAAAATTTAATTTTACAGAAAAGAAATTACATTTTTCTACATTGTACTTAAGGTGGTACCCAACACCTTGACTAATATTAATTTGGCTCGTTTAATTTTCATAAAATTTTGACCAAATGTTTACTTTGACCCTTTGACAAAAATATAAAAATTTCAAAAAATTTGAACCAACCACTTTATCAGAAAAATTTCATTGGTTATATAGCAGTTTGACAAACACTAATTTTGATCATTGAGAAGCTTAATATTTCCTTAACAATACAACGTAATTAAAACGTTTAGCTGATTTTTACAGAGTTATCTCCCTGTAGTGTTAGGTACCACCTTAAGAATACAAATAAGTTCTTGTCATGCAGAGATAATTGAATTCTATATGAACTTTCTGTCAGTCAAGTTTAACTTTATAATTCACATGTACATCAAGGTCATCTTCAAAACGTCTTTAGATCTATTTATTGAAATTCCAAGAATCACAGATTTTTTTATTGCATGTTAACACAGATTACATTTATTGTAGAATCGGCTTTGAATTCTATAAATTTTAAGGATGTTCGCTCCTTTATTTTAAAAAAACAAGCTTTAAAAAAGACTGTTTTAAATTGATAGTATACAAACTGAACTAAAAAAACAGGAAAAAATGAGAGGTCCGTGTCCTTGTTTTTGAGATACAAGCAATTGAAAAATTTGGAGGAAAAGGTTTCTCTCTAGAGTTTTCATACATTTAACATTGGTGCCTTTTTTCTTTCAAAAACTATGAAAAAAGAACAAGCGTTATATAAAATTTTTAAAAATGGATTTTCAAACTATATGTAATAAAATGATGAAAAGAAAAGTAGGCGTTAGCGGGCAAAATTTTTAATGGCACTACATGAATAAAAAAAGAGGATTCCGAATATCTGACAAAAAGTCAAAAACAAAAGCAGTGAACATCTTTAAATCATGTCAAGTCTTACAAAAATGTGAAACTGGATTAAACAGATTACTGTTTAATCATTATGGAGATCTTGGCTATAACAACAATCCAACAACAGCACCTAAGATCCCCCCTGTTTTTTGGTGGGGTTCGTGATGCTTAGTATTTAGTTTTCTGAATAGTGTTTTGTGGATTTCAACATTCGTCTTTTCGTCGTTTTCTTTGTTTTTTTGCCATAGTGTTGTCAGTTTTCTTCGACTTATTTTTAAAATTTTAAATATCCCCTTGTTCCATCTTTTTAAAACAAATATTTGGATTGAAACAAATAGAATTTATTTTTTTTTCATTTATGTTGAAACTGTGGTTACGGCTCACTGTTCAGTTAAGTGAGACGTGTTGGCTGCAAATGTACATTTAAACACGTCTGACGTACAATGTTATAAGCCTGATATCTTTGAAGAGTGTAGGCTTACAACCACTGGGTCGAAGCCACTGCTGTTCGATGTTTCGTCCCAGAAGATATCACCAGCAAAGTAGTTAGCAATTTTGTGTGTAGACATGAAATATCTCTGATACATTCATGTTATGTAAATGTACTGTTTGTGAAATGTTTAATTATTTGAAATACTAAGGTGTTTCCATCCCTAGGCAAAGGCAGCCTTAGTCGTATTTTCCATAACTTTTTGAAATTGTGGGTTTAAATATGCTGTTCAGCTTCGTATTTGATTTGGACTTTAACTGTTTTGATTCGAGCGCCACTGATGAGTCTTTTTAAGACGAAACGCGCGTCTGGCGTACACCATCATTACCATGGTATCTCTGATGAGTTTGT